TTTCGTGTGCTACCCCTATGGGGTGTGAAGATTTTGTTTGTTTGTTTATGTCTTGAACTCTCGCGTGTGGTTGTTTTAGCTTTTGTATGTTGGCGATGCTATCCTTGCTGTGATATTTGATGATATGTGTAATTGCTATGTGTTTACTACTTCATAAGTTGCTAAATTTATTAGTGCTACAGGGCCACGCACTAAGCGATCGACCTTGTGCTGAACATAAGGGTAAGGCCTCGACTAATTTGACGCACTAAGCGTCTACATCAGCCGGTGTATTGAGCCCTTTTTGCGTTGATCATAAGGCTTAATACTCTAAGCATTAAGGCTGAATGCACTGGGTTTTAATATACTGAGTATCTTAATACACTAAGTATTATTGTTGAATGCGCTAAGCATTATAATTTAATACGCCAACATTTAAGACTTAAATGTATTGAGCATTACTTGCGTTAATCATTAAGAGTTCAGTACACTAAGTACGAATTTCATCATTTTAATTGTTAGATTTTTACACTGAGTACGAGGCTTTTAAACACATCGAGTATCAAGACCTTCTTTAGTGCTCATGCACTCGTGCTTTGATCTTGGTTTTTTGCGTTTTGACACTCGGCTTATCCAACAGTGCGTTCTCCAACTTCGCTGCTTTCTTGTGGAAGCTTTCTTCTAGAAGTAGAATTTCCTCAAATTCCTTGCGTTCCACGTTCTTGGAATTTGTCTTCCTTCCATTGTTTCTAGCATGTACGTCCCATTTTGGTTTGCTTCTACAACATTGTATGGACCCTCCCATACGGGTCCTAGCTTGCCCTGAGGGTGAGCCCGACTTGCCTCGTTCTTTCTTAGCACATACTCTCCCACTTTAAATGCTTTTTCCTTGACTCTTTGATTGTAATATCTTTCTGTCGCACGTTTGTATGCCGCCTGGCGTATGCTCGCCTTCTCTCGCTTTTCCTCGAGGATATCTAAGTTCAGCCTCAGGTCTCGGGAATTGGCTTCTTCATCGGTATGGCTTGTCCTTAGCGTGCCTATCATCACCTCCACTGGAAGCATTGCCTCCTCTCCGTATGTCAAACTGAATGGTGTCTCCCGCGTGCCTGTTCGCGGGGTGGTCCTATATGACCATAGCACCGTCGGTATCTCTTCCGCCCAGTTTCCTTTGGCCTTTCCTAACCGCTTCTTAATCCCGTTCACAATGGTTCTATTGGATACTTCTGTCTGTCCGTTTGCTTGTGGGTGTGCCACTGATGTGAATCGCTGATTTATCCCCTTGCTAGCGCACCACTCCTTGAACGGGTTTTTAGCAAACTGAAGCCCATTGTCACTTATCAACGTTTGAGGTGTGCCAAACCTAGTCATGATATTCTTCCAAACAAACTTGATCATGTGCCTTCCTGTTATGCATGCCAACGGTTCTGCTTCGATCCATTTCGTAAAATAGTCCACAGCCACGACCATATATTTTAACCTTCCTGGCGCTTCTGGGAATGGTCCCACAATATCTATTCCCCACTGATAGAATGACCTGGGGCTAGACAATTGGATAAGGGCGCCAGTGGATTCTCTTGGACCTGGGAGAACGCTTGGCACTCCCCACATGCTTTTGTCAGCTCTGCTGCGTCCTGGTGCACGGTGGGCCAGTAGATCCCCATCCGGAGCACCTTTCCCGCAACGCCTCTTTCCCTTTGATCTCGTCCACGCATCTTAGTCATGGGGTTGTGAACCATTTCCGGTATAGCTCCCCCACAATTAGAGCGTATGAGGGTGCCTTTATGCGTATTCTTCTGGCTTCGTCATGGCTATCAGGTAGGACGCCTTGCTGTAAGTAGTCTATTAGTGGGGTCATCCATGTGGGTCCCGCCATCGTGAGTGTGCTTACCTGCCGTTCCTCTATGCTCCTTTCCTTGAGCACCGCGACCAAAACTTTCTTTGATAAGTGATCAAAACATGTCGATGCCAGTTTGCTTAGGGCGTCTGCTCTCCTATTCTCGCTCCTTGGGATTTGCTTGATAGTGAAATCCTTAAAGGATTTGGTAAGCTGTCGTACTGTCTTAACGTATCTCTCCATTCTTTTGTCTCTTGTCTCAAAGCTTCCATTAACCTGGTTGGCAGCCAGTATTGAGTCTGTCAGCGCAGCTACGGCCTCCGCCCCCATTTGTTTGGCCAGGGCTTAAGCCGGTGAGCAATGCCTCGTACTCCGCCTCATTATTTGAGGTGTGGAAGTCGAAATGGAGGGCATACGTAACCTCTTCTCCTTCCGGGCTGGTTAAGATTAGGCCAGCCCCCGAGCCCTCCCTGCTGGATGCTTCGTCGGTGTACAACGCCTATTTTCTATTTCCCTCTGGGATTTCTTTTACCGCCATGACTCCTTCTTTGATTACATCTCCTTCCCCTGGGATTTCAAGTAGAAAATCTGCCAGCGCCTGCCCTTTGATGCTTGTCCTTAGCCGGTAGCTAATATCGTGTTCACCCAATTCGATCGCCCATTTTGCGAGTCTTCCTGAGGTTTCGGGCTTGAGCAAGATTTGTTTAATCGGGCAATTCGTCAGCACCTCTATTTGGTGGGCCTAAAAATACCGTCTCAACTGTCTCGCATCCATAGATCAGCGCTAGTACCAGCTTTTCCAGGGTAGGATAATTAAGTTCAGGGCCTTGTAACGCTCTGCTCACGAAGTATACTGGGTTCTGTTCCCCTTCTCTTTCCACAACTAGTACAGAGGATATGGCTTCGGCTGAAGTTGAGAGGTATACCTGCAATATCTCACCCAGCATGGGGCTAGCTAACATGGATAGTTTGTGTAAAGCTTCCTTGATTCCTTGGAGTGCTTCCTCTGCCGCCGTTGTCCACTGAAAGTTACTTTTCTCGATACAGCCTTTCAATGTGTTGAATAGCGGCATAGCCTTTTCAGCTAACTTTGAAATGAACCTACCGAGCGCCGTGATTTTCCCATTCAGGCCTTGTGCGTCCCTTAGAGTACTTGGGGGTGGTGTTTCCATGAACTCGTCCACTTTTGTTGGGCTGGGCTGGATGCCTTGTCTGGTAACATAGTATCCTAGGAACTGGCCTTCCTCCACCCCAAACGTGCACTTGCTCGGGTTTAGCTTCATCCTTGCTTTCTCCAACGTCTTGAAAGTCTCTTCGATATCCTGCAACATCTTTACCTCATCCTCACTTTTAATGACCATATCGTCGATATATATACTTCAATGTTTCTCCCAATCTGGCTTGAGAACATGGAGTCGACCAGGCGTTGGTATGTTGCCCCCCGCGTTTTTTAAACTAGAGGGCATTTTGGTGTAGCAAAATGTGACATGGTCGGTGTAGAAAAAGCTGTTTTCTCCTTGTCGTCCTTACTCATCAGGATCTGGTGATACCCTTTATACGCATCCAGAAAACATTTTAATTTGAAACCTTGTAGTGATTCTACCTTCTGGTCAATTTCCGGGAGAAGGTAGCAATATTTTAGGGCATGCCTTGTTAAGGTCGGAGAAATCGATGCACATGCGCCATGATCCGTCATGTTTTCGTACCATGACAGGATTGGCTATCCAAGTTGGGAAAACTGCTTCCCTCAGGATCCCTGCCTTTGCCAGCTTAGCCACCTCCACGTTGATCGCCCTATTACGGTCTCCCCCCTGGACCCTCTTTTTCTGTTTGACCTCATTTGTACCCGGTTTAATCATGAGTTTATGTTCAATGATTTTCCGGTCTACGCCTACCATGTCTGTGGGAGTCCACACAAATATGTGCTTGTATCGCCTGAGGAGATCGACGAATGCCCGCCTGGTGTGCCCTGGAAGGTTGCGACCGATGCTGACTGTCTGATCAAGGTGTTCTTCATTGACCACCTCTTTCTCGTATGCCGATTCACCTCGTGCTTTTTTGGTTTCTCTTGTTATCTCGGCTGGTTGTATAATCGTATAGCACTGCAGTTGCCTTGGCGGTGTGGCCAGGATTGTGGTCGGACCTCCGCTAGTGTTGAACTTCACTATCCCGTGCATTGTGGACGGAATCGCGCCTAATTTGAGCAAAGCTGGCCTCCCCAGAATGATATTATGCTCTGCTGAATCTCAGATCACAACGAAATCGACCAGGACTGTTTTCCTTCGTTGCTTGTCATGACTGGTCAGTGTAAGAGGGAGGTGGATCATGCCTAGCGGCCATAGACTGTGTCCCGTGAATCCGACCAATCTTCCCGTTGTAGGTCTCAGGCCGTCCTTCCACCTATCTGGAAGGAGGCGGAAGCAATGCTCGTAGATGATGTCTGCGGAACTACCTGTGTCGATATACACTCTGTGTATGACCACGTCTTTAATAGAGGCCTGTATTATGAGAGGGTTATCACCTGTACAGCCTTCGGGTCTGGGATCTTGTGCCGAGAATGTGAGCTCTTGTGTCATGGGCATGAGGTTCTCCTGATGTGCAGTTCCTTCGTGTCTGCTTCTCTTGGCTCGTATCATGAATATTTCTTTGGGCTGAGTACCTTCTTTCGGGACTCCTTTGGCGTTTTCTGCGTCAAACTTGACGCGCAGGCTGCGTGCTACCTCCACAAGATCTCCCTTGAGCTTTTTCTCCTCCATTTCTTTTTTAAGGACCGAGCAGTTGGTAGTGTCATGTGTTTTGCTTTTGTAGTATTCGCAGTACCGTCCTTTTGGTGCGCTCTCTCTTGCTGCTTGTCCGCAACCACGTATACGTCTGGACGACGACCCCATCTGTCGTCCTTGACGAACGGCCTGAAGCGACCCAGTGGTCTCCTTCCTCGTCCGAAGTGACCTTGTCTGAAGTGCCTGCTTCCCCCAGATGTTTCTGTGTAGGTTGGGTTAGAACGCTTGGTGGCCATGACATTTAAGTATGCTTGCTTTGCTGCTTCGCCTTCCTCCTGTCTTAAATATCTTTCCACCCTTTCCTTTAGCTCGGCTCTTGTCTGTGGTTTTTTGCCCATGAGTTTTTGTGACAGAGGGCCGGGGAGGAGTCCCCACGTGAAAGCTCCTGCTATAAGGCCCTCGTCATGACCCGGTACGTCCAACGTGGCATTTGTAAACCATGTGAAGTACTCTCTTACGCTTTCCCCTTCCTTTTGCTTGCATCCGATGATGGAATGGGAGTCGCCTTTGTACTTTCGCAGTTGCATGAAGTTGGTGAGGAAAAGATACTTTAGTTGGCCAAAGTTGTAAATGCTACCTGGGCGCAGCGTCTTGAACCATGTGCCTGCATTTCCATCTAGCGTCGTTGGGAAATACGTGCACCAGAAACGTTCGTCTAGCTTTAGCGACGTCATTGTCCATTCATATGTGTCGATATGACTGTCCGAATCGGTGGTGCCATTGTAAGTTTTCAAGTTGGGGAGCTTTGCTGTGTTTGGGATCTCGTAATCCAGTAGTTCCTTGGCAAACGGAGATGTGACACTCTGTGACAGGCAGTCTTGATTAGGGATGGTTAGCGGGCCCTGCACATTATACTGGTGGGTCGTGTTGTACGGCTGTGCCCCTGGGTGACCGTAGAACGCTTGGTATCCTGGGTTAGGACCATAGAAGGCCTGCTGTTGGAACGACAACTGCAGCGAGTATCCCGGGTGTGTAAGTTGAGGCTGAGCCAGGGATTGCGTTGGTGTGGGCTGCTGTTGACTTGCATGAGTGGTCGCTATAGGCGCACCCCATGTGCCTGTCGAGAGGCGAGGCAACAATGGTGATGCTACCATGGTTTGCGCGAGCGGTGGGAGCATCAGGGGGTGCTCGTCGATATCTGGCTCTGTGGTGACACGTGGATTGGCGGTTGGATGTTTGGTGTTTGGCTTGCTGGAAAAAAGGGAAGTTGGTGTTGTACCATTGGGGTGAAAAAGGGTGACGTTTGGTTTACTGAGTGTTGTGTCGCCGTTGGCTGGAATGTTAACGGCGTTGGCAAAGGTGTGGCTAGTGGTATCGTCCCCATAAGTGGCCTTAGTTGTCGGAATGACGTTTGGATGATGGGCTCTATGCTTGTCGTTTGCAGCGAAAAAGGTGGTTGAGCTAGCTGCTGGGTTATCGGGGGCGTTGTAGTTAGCATAGAGCTTCCTTCGCCGGTGTGTTCATTGGTGGCCGTTATGGGTGGTGGTACGTCGTCCAATGGCGTAATGGAGCGTATAGGGCTGTTCTGTATTCCGTCACCGCCGTCAGACGCCATTGATTTTGATGAAACAGTGGTTTTTACTTCGTTCTTCCTCACACAAAACGGATGGCGCCAAATGATGTGACCTCGACCTCGACCTTCAGCTTGCTCTCTGATCTGGTATTGGAAGGTATCTGCAAGGCCACACGAAAGAACAGCCGTCAGCCGTTTCCCGGGAGGAGGCTCCCGGAAGAACGCTCCGACGGTCAAGTTAGATGGTGTCCTTGGGTTATAGAAGATGGGTTTGTCTTAGAGAAGACCGCTTACATTTAGGGCTCCTGAGTGTGCCCTTATATACCTAGTGATCCTGCTCGTCCGTACGAGACATTGTCGCTTTTAGGGGACAAGGTCAGAGGTGCTGATTGGAGGATTGTGCGCCTCTTTATGTCAGAGTACTGTCATTGGCTCCGGCGGTAATGCTCTGACCCTCTGCCTTGTCGCTTGACCGTATCCTTTGTCTTGATACTGGGAGCGTCACTGGCGGGCGCGAGCCCTTCGCCGGGGCGCCCTACTCTTAAGGGCGCTGGCGGGCACTGAGCCTTTCGCTGAGGCGTCCTGCTCTTAGGGGCGCTGGCGGGCACTGAGCCCGCTCCTCTTGACTCGGCCGGGGCGCCAGGTATCTTGGGGCTCCTGGGTGACTCTTCCGTGCCGGCTTAGGCACGCCATCAAGAAGAGTATAAATTCATAGCAATCCATGATGGGGGATTTATATATGTTAACTATAAGGAACCCCTTTTTGGTAATTTTACATATATAAGCAGTTTTTTTTTTTGCCAAACACTAAAAGTGGCTTATCAGTTTATAACGGTTTTGGCTTATCAGTTTATAGCGGTTTGACACCCGATAAGCTTTGCCAAACAATTTTTTTAAAAAACTTCATTTTGATAAGCTTTGTCAAACACCCTCATATTACCATAGTTCTGTCTATCTAACTTTCCACTGGCGATTCTTGTGTTCTTCAGGTACACAAATCACTTCCTGGTGAGTGAAATTAAGAGGGAGGTTGAAGGTGGGAACAACGTTCAATTAATTAGTGGGTTCGGTGGTAGTGTAGGAAGATTATCTTTGGAAGGTGGGTTTTCGTCCGACAGTTCTTCTGGTGATGGAAATCAGGTACTCAAGGGTGAAAATCTCGATAAATTGATGGGTAGAACCATTAATGCCACCATTGTTCTTGTTGCTGGTACTTTCAGTATTACCAAATTTCTCACCATTGATTACGATTATTGGCATGTCAGTTCTTCTATCCACAATTAACTTCTCCAATTAGGGTTTATTCAAATATAATTTTGAGTTGAAAGTTACATTCACCTAAAAGAAGCTCATCTTCACATTTTCTACAGATTTTGGAGCACTCATACCCACAAATTTTCTCAACAAAGGTATACACTATTCTTAGTAATCCTCAATTATATTTATGTTTAGTTTTTCCAATTGCATAGATTTATCCATGTGAAAATTGCTTTTCAATAACAAAATTCATGATTCCTATGTTTCTTTGTTGCCAAAATGTAATATAAGTTTTGAAATTAGAGGCATGATGCTTATGTTATAATGTTAACCTTAGAATTATGTGTGCGTTTTAATTGTTGTTTGTATTCATGTAGTTGAGTGAATTATTAGTTACATGAAATTACTTCTTACTTTTTTTTTCATTTGCTTCTGCTTTTTGTAGTCTGTAGTCAGAGATGAATGTGAACAGAGACTCCGATTAGATTTATTGTATTCTATCGATTCCTATACAAAACTTTGTGCATTTTGACCGTTTATGGATAGGGAAACATTTGAAGAACTAGAGACAACAAACATCAACAGATGGTGAGAGTATAATATGTTTTTTCTAATCTAATCAAGAAACAGTATTAGATAGATTCATTAGAGAAAAAATGGAGCTTAAAGAGGTGAAAAGAACAATTATAGCAAAACCAGTTGTTTCAAGGCCTACAATTTCCATCTTCGGATCCTGTTTTGACCTTCTTCCTAATGCCATTAACATTTCACCCTCAGCAGCATCCACAATCACTGCCATCAGACCAAGACCAAAAACAGTGAAGTCAAATAACTTAGATAGGCATTCTTATGATAGATATAATCGGAGGAAATACGGTCAAAAAACACCCGAATTGTGTGGTGAAAAAGAAAGTTGAAAGATGGATAAATGGGGAGATAGCTGAAATTTTTTATAAAAGTCAGCATAAGTAATCAGTTCAAGACTAATAATAAGTTGAATGAAACTACCAAAGATTTAAACTCCCAATTGCCAAGTAATCAGCTTAAGAATGATAATAAGTTGAATGAAGTTGTTTTGGTGAAAGTCACGATCCTATAATTATTCATGTAGTTGCATTTTAAAGTTCGTGTTTTGCAGGAAAATTATAAATGAAAGATATGGTGAAGGTTTAAAAGAGGGTGGAGATGTTATTCATGATGGCATTGATTCAAAGGCAATTGCTAATGGTTTAGATGAAGAAATTATGAGAAGAAACTTGTGAAGGGCAATCCTTATCCCAGGTTTAATAATATAAAATTATATTAAAAATATATTAATTATACTTAAAATTTGCATATTAAGTCTAATATGCAAAGATATTGTGCATAAGTTATTATAGATGCATAGAAGGTAAGTGCATTGTGAGGAAAAATGTGGAAAGAGCATTATATATATATATATATATATATATATATATATATATATATATATATATATATATAATATATATATATATATATATAAAAGCATATCTTTCCATGTTCCACATCCATCAACAATCAACATTGTTTTTTAATTGATCCACATGCATACTGCATACAGTTTAATGATCAAACAAAACTCAATCCACAGTTCGGAACTTTGTTCCTGGTTAATTTTATTATTATAAGTTATTATATAAATTATAATGTATAATTTGAACATGAACAACTTTTCTTACTTTTGTGATAACTTGTAAATTGTATTTTTGATTTAATGGTATCAATTTTTTATATTTAGCGGGTACCCGTGAACAGAACCGTGGTACCCGCCTTCACATGGTTCGGTTCGATTCGATTTTTTGTATAATTCGGTTTGGTTTCGGTTAGTGCATGTCAGGTATCCACCCCGTTGTCACGGTTCATAATTTTATTACTATCTGAGCCGAATCGTCCTGTGAACACCCCTAGGTGACATAAGGATATGAAGAGGGTTATGCCTTTAGACGTGTCAACATTTTGATGGAAGGAGGTATGCTTTTCTCATTTATTTAATCTATGAGCTACTATAGTAGGCTAGATATGTCTTTATTAATTATTTGCTGTTTCAAAACATAAAAACATATGTTTTTGTGGGTTATTTATTTTCAGTTGTTATTCGCTTTAGTCATTATTAAATGTTGGTGGATTGATAAAGATTCTTTAAGAGTTTACAAACTTATATATATAACAGTATAAGTATAAGTGAGTGTGCATGGACCGATTGTCGACTTCATTAACGGTGTCATAAATGTACAATCGGGCAAATTTAGAACGCCATCGTCAGGAGTAGGTAGCAATGTCGCAATTCTATGATAATCATGTCTATTTAAACGAAAAGTATAAATACCTCCTTTATCATTCAAATATATATTTATATTTCCTCCACTAAAGGTGAAGGAAGACATTGATTTAGAAGCTTGATATTACGACTGTAGTACATCAGATCACGTAAAATTTGAGGAGGATGTTGAAGCAAAGGTAATTTCACCTTTCCTGTCACTACATCACATGCAAATTTTTAGAACGATTATGGTTTGCTATCAAGATTTTAATATGGAAAGACCGCTCTTTTCTCATCCACATAGCCCAAAACTCGAAATGGACACAACACCTTCCTTTCTCTTTTCCCACACCTAACCAACAATCTTCCTTTATCCATTTTTTTATACAACAACCCATGTCATGGGCCACATTGTAGTTGGTTTGACACTCCTTAAGTTTATTTGGATCTTTAAACTTCATCTCGAGAATTAGTTTCATTGACCTTTAAGGTGTAGAAGGATTATGTTTAGTGTAATCCTATGTCATTAAGACTATCATCAGAAGTTGTAGAAGTTGTATCAGGTTAACCAATTTCTTGCTCAACAACAAACTCTATGCAAAAATGATCATCATTCTTACTCTTTAACATGATTCTGTCATCATCCTTTTTATTGTCAACAAATATTCCATAAGACAGAGCATCATCACTGGACTCTACTATTTGATCGTCATTTACCATGCATCTTCATAAGTCTTGACCAACGATCTCAAGATATAAACTGATTCTACCAACAAGATAATCATGTCTATAAACTTCCTTAAGCAACTTCAGTGGTTCAATGTTAAAATACCCCTCGTAATGTTCATCGACTGTAATAAGCCCATTCATCTAGCCGATTTGAAGACTGTAATGTACGTTGACTGGTAATCCGTTTCTTGCAATAAGTTTGGGGGTTCGATACTGGGGTTTAGGGCATCCACAATGCATTAAACTCCAGAGAGTTCAATGGATTGCTACTTCATTTTTCTACATTCCATACAACTCAATTAATTTTTTCCTACAATGCATTGAACTCTACAAAGTTCAATAGAAAGTTACAAAAGCTAATTTATTGTATGAATTTAAGATTAAAAAACTTTCATTTTTTCCCATTGAAGAGTTCAATGACTATTGAACTCCAAATCCATTGAATGTCAAGGTGGCATCTCACTATGATAAAGTTTCATCCATTGAATGACAACTAGACTTGCCACCTCATTCAACCCTTTTATTGAACTCACCATTGTGGATGCTCTTAGATGATGTCATTCAAAGGGTTTAATGTGCGAGAGCAATTTGGGGGTTAGATGGTTAATTAGGGTTTTCTATATTAACCATGTGACGTTGTTAAGGGTGTAATGATGCGAGATATGAAATTATCTGTTTTATGATAAAAGGTAAACATGCAGCAAAAAAGACTATGTTACTTCTTAAAATATAAACTTAAAATATAAACTCGTTACTTTGGCAACTTTAAAACATTATGAAAAATTACTTGGCAAAAAACATGATAACCCTCTAAATTATTATCAACTATTTTTGATTGATAAGATTTTATCCTGACATTAGCATTTCAAGATGAAATTTTTACCCACCTCTATGTATTTTTATTATATTGTTATATTTTATTTTGAAATTATTTATATAGTTATGTTTTAGATTAGTAAATTATAGCAATTTAGTACCGTTCTTGAATGCTTGTTGGAGTGATTCGCATGTGATACTTTATATACCATCGTGCATCGATTCAAGGAGATGTATATTCTTTTCAGATTAAGTTATCTTTTTATGAATATCATACATTAGAAAACTCGATCTATATTTAATTATGTTACAATTAGAATACAACTTTGATTATTAAAATGTATAGGTTATTTATTTATTTTTCGTTTGGAAAGATTAAAACAATGTAGTGTAAGTTTTCATTATTGTTAAATTATATTATAACTCCCGAAAACCATGGTTAACAAATATATATATATATATATATATATATATATATATAGATATATATATATATATATATATATATAATACTTCAAAAGCATAATCATTAATCAATGATTTTCAAGCATTTATTAATTTAAAAAGTTAGATGAGTTGTCTTTAACTTTATAAGGGTCGATTCAAATTAATATTTAAAATATTTTGAAGATAAGAGGGACATTCTTTAAAATATTAAAATATTGTATAATAAAATATAAAATTGAATAGAATAAAAAAAACAAAACAAACACAATTAATGATGTAAATGCAATTATTATATGAAAAATTAAAAACTAAGCTATTGTAAGAAAATATATGAACACCTAAAAAAATTACAAATGAAAATTAAGAAGAAAGCTTGTTTTATTATTAGTAAATATATATGTTATAAGAAATAAAAAATTTCAAATTGTTTATCGATTTTTAAAAGCTTTTGTATACACAATGTGAAAGTTTTATCGTAAGTCTAACATTCTTTTCTAAAATTAACAATTTTAATGTTTTTTACTTTGAACTCTATATAAGGTAACATGCAATTGACAATGTATAAAAATAAGCTCTTTGAGAAACAAAACAACATTCGATAAAGATTGTGCTTAACTCTTATTAATTGTTATTGCAAAAACATACGACTAATATAAATTGTTTTCTTTGGAGTTTCAACGAAATTATTTTTTCAGAATGACTTAAAGACATTTTTTTTGGAATAAAAGTACGGTTTACAATATTAACTCCAGATATAATAACTGTCTCAATAACATGCGTGTGCAAAGATATCACCGGATGCCATTACCTAAGCCATTTTTCTTAATAACATAAGTGAGACCGTGTGGTACACGATTGACATTAAACCTTTTTTTTATATATAACATGAAAAACACTTTTTAAATATATCTAAAACTGGTACACAAACTACAACCATCTTAAATCTATAAAAAATGAATTCATAGTATAAGTTACCAAAATACCTTCGACGGACAACACTTCTTTTGGGTTATGATAAAACTGAAGATGTCGTAGTCTAATTATATACTATCCTGAGTATAGAATCCTCCTTAAGGAGATATCTTTGACGTGTCAAAGTAACATCTTTTGCATCCATATTTATGTAGAGAAATAATTATAGATTGCTAATAAAAAGTAAAAACAAGAAGTTGAAAATCCTCCTTAGCCCACATGAATGTTTTAGTCCAAATAAAAGCCCAACTCACAAAAGTGATCAGATTGTAGACCTGCACAAAAAC